TGGGGCAGCCGAGAGCCATAGCGCATGCCTGTGTTGCACGCGTGTCCCTCTGCGTGCTTTCGCAATGCAACACGAGTGCTCGCAGCAGCATCACAACACTGCCCGTGGGGGTGGGGGCAGCAAGGCACGGCAGGAGTTTCTTGCCAGGCAATCTGTGCAGCAGAGCAAGCAGCTTCAAGGAGAAGCTCCTTTTGCATTTTCTAATGAAGTTCCTCATTTGGTGCTAAAAGACCAGGACCCTTCCCAGGAGTCTTTACCACTATCACCTGACAAGGTCAAAAGTCAGTTCTTTCCTAATCTAAAAATAAAAAATAAAATGATGCAATAGGGGTTCAGGGCTCAGTCTGGATGTGCATGTTTTATTCCTCTAATTTACATTGCATTTGGCCATGGTGTTGTTTAGTTCTCTCCTGAACAGCTGTGGAGCATGGCTGTGCTCTGTGAAAAGCAGCTGCGCTTTTACCCCAGAGGTGGCTGCATTGCAGCAGCTGGCAAAGTTGAGTTGGTTGAAAGTGAAAGGGTCTGGTAAAATGTACAACACTGATGAATATACTCATAGGACTAGAGGGATTACCTGGCTTTTTCTGATGATATGGGGGTATGGGAAATCAGCTATACAAAACCAGAAAATATTGAAGAATATGCCCAAGAGAAAGTAGCTATCCCGTCTGATGAGGTCTGAAGAGCTAATTGGGGATGCACAAAGTGATCCAGAGAGCTTTCTAAGATGAATAAAGAGGGCTGGGGCAGCAGACAGGATAACTAGGAGCCCATAAAGAGTCCGGTATAATACGACCTTGAACAAAGCAAACAATTTTGAGGTTTTCAGGAAGTGAATCGGGATCTTTCGAATCGACACACTGCTTCCCATTCAGCAGCAATTGCCAGGACCTTTGCATCATACAACGTTGCTCTGAGCAGAAAAAAAGCTGACAAATTGTGGCACAAACCAGAAAATGATTTAAACTCCTCCCAATTCACTGTCACATCTGAGTGTCATCAAAGCCCCAATTAACACTTCTTTCTAAGGAGGCTGTTCAGAAAACTTGCCTTACTTTTGAGCTCTCATCCACTCCATGGGCTGCCTGGAGACTCCAGCCCCATGCAGCTCGCTGCAGCTTAGCATGTGTCGCATCTTCGATTCACTTTCCAGTTCACACGTGTGGGCTTATCAAGCCCATCATCGTTCCTTTTCCAAGGAGGATTTGTTGACAGGCAGCAGCAAAGGATTTACTTAAAATCCAGATATTTTACACCAGCTGCATCCCCTCCATTGAGTCATTTTACTACAACAACCCCCTGACTACTTCCCCACCCCAAATATTTCTGTCTGGTGAAAGCATATCCGGCAATCTGTCAATCCAATTCTGGCCTCCCAGCAATTTTACACTGGGGTTAGCCATTGACATTAGCAAAATTCCTCCTTGTTCACACCAGCGGAAGTCGGATCTGAAGTAGGCCCTCAGTACTGTATTCTTCTCTCTTAATATTTGTCATTTTCTTTTTTTCAGAAATTAAATTTACGGGTCAGTCACTGGCAGGATTTCCATATTCTCTCACATATCATGTGCCCCCAAGTCACTCATGCATATGCATATGCACACACACATACACTCGCCCGTTCACACACACATGCACCTGCACACGCATCTGCTCATGCACATACACACGCCCATGCACACACATGTGCACCTGCACACGCATCTGGTTATGCACATGCACACACTCCCATGCACACACACATGCACCTGCACACGCGCTTGCTTATGCACATGCACACGCATCTGCTTATGCACATGCACACACACATGCACCTGCACACACATCTGCTTATGCACATGCACACACACACACACATGCACATGCACGTGCACCTTCTTTTGGGAAGGCAAAATGAACAACGAAGACTTTTTCCAGAATCATGGCTGCATTTTGACCACAGAAGCAGAGCACGCTCTGCAGCATCAGCAAAAGCTGCCGTGTTCGCTCTTTCAAGCTGCTGCCAAGTTGGCATCAGCTTTTGTATGCTCAGTCAACAGCTGCTGCCAATTCAGCAGCGCCTCTGAGAGGGTTAACACCACAGCTCTGACCCTGAGCATGAAGTCCTCCCCTCCCTGCCCTGGGCCAGCAGGAAGAGACACGGCGGACACTGGACAGCTATTACAGGTCTCCATGTTTCCTTCAGTCCAGTGCAGGAACTCACTTCCCCTCTTAAGACCTGGACTCCTGTTTTGGAGGGCTGATTTGTGGGGATAGGGTGCATAGGTATGTCAGTCAATGAAGTACCTTCCTCTGTCTTTTGCAAGCCAGTGTAGTGTTTTCCCTTCTCCTCTCTCCCAAGACCTTGGCGGTACGTGAATTTTCAAAGAGCGCTGTCAGCAAGTCAAGCAGCTATTGGGAACGATGGAAAACGAATGCCCTGGGATGCGCATAACTCGGCTAGGTGGATTTGTGAAGGCTAACGATAACCTCTTGCTTTCCTTGTATGAACGATGACTTGCAATGGATCTTCCTTGCCTGCCTCCTTCTCGTGGAGGGCACAATTCAAAGCAGGACTCAGACATCTCTGGTTTTGCAGTCGCCAGGAAGTCTTGTCCTCTCCCCCTGCCCCTTCCTCCACTAACTTCTTCTCTCTGGGATGTATTTGCGAAAGCCCTTCTTATGTCCTCGGACCTTACCTCTCTTTGCTTCTCCTCTGCCCGCTTTAACTGACTCAGGATGAATTTGCTTGACAGCCTCCACCTACCCCCAGATCTTTGAGCAGCCTGCGGAGAGTCCCGATCTGCTGATTCGTATTCCCAGCACTGAACTGGAGTCGGCTGCACCTTGAGGACAGGGGTGTTCGGGATGACGCAGACTTCTCCCACACTCGGGGGCAAAGGTGTTATCTCTTGCTCCCCTTGCATCTCCACCAGTAGCTTTTACTTAATCCCTCCCCCTGCTGCGCCCCACTTGCTTTCCTTCATCCTGGGAGCCCAGTCCTGGTTCTTCTGACCAAGCGCCCATCAGCTCCTCTCTTGTTCTCAGGAGCAGAAGTGGGTTTCCAAAGAGCCATGGACTAGGTGACACCACAGGGCCAAATCCTGTCCTGAGACAGATGGATGCGCTGGTGGGGGGAGCTGAGTGGAGAAAAGTGGGAGCTTAATGCACTCATGAAGCAGCAGGACACGGGTCCTGCAGCTCTCGGGAGCTGGATAAGGAGAAAAGTCTGCCGCCTGTGGGGCACAAGCCCCCTGGTTCTTACATTGGCACGTGTAGCGCGCACTGACCCCATCGGACTGTTTCTGCCCCTGCCCGAGGGACATTATCCTCTGCGCTGAAGACCCGGCAGCCCCGCTCAGGAGATGCAGCCCTAACACGCTGTGACAGCTTGGGGTCTGTCTCGGCTTGATGCCCTCACAGTCCGGATGTAGGGTCCAGAGCGTGTCCCAATGGCCAGGCTGGATGTACCAGATGGGGACGGGTGCTGGCCAGGAGCTTTGCCACTTTGCGAATACACAGACGTTGCAGGGGTAAAGTGCCCCTGTGATAAAGGACCTTCAAGCTGCGTGAACCCCAGTGTTGGGGCCCTGATGTGAGGGGGATGAGCCAATGTATCCCCAGTGAATACGCTGGCCGTGGCTATTCTGCATGCCACGCTGGATGTTTGCATTGCAGCCACGTTGAACTGCAAAGTGGGTGCGCGCTTTGATTTGGGGCTTTTCTGCTTCTCCAGCACTGAACGGGGAGCTGATTTTGCCTCTTGCTTTGAAAGCAGCTAACACATCTGGGAGTGATTGTGGCAGCATCTTTCCTAAGCATTGCATTGTATGGACTAGGCTGACTACCTTCCCGGTACAGACACTACATTTACTCACTCAGGCATTTCTGTGACCTCATTGCTCTTATTTTCTTATGGCAGAGTAGACACAGGGATATTATATTAAGCAGTAAGGAAAGCCAGGGAGACCGGGAGCCCAAGACTGGATGCTGAATTACTGATAGGTGACCTGAGCTTTCAGCTGTTTGGAAGGTGGGCAGTCGCTGGGCGGACTCCCTGCTATGCACACCTCCAGGTATATTGTTTATAGAGGAAGAGGACTGAGACCATCACTGGGAGAAAACGACCAAAACAGCCAGTCACAAGAGCTCTGTGGCCTCGAGAGGTTTGTACACAGCTGGAGACTTATCCTCCAAACACTCTGTAGAGAAACCACTGTGAGGTCAGTTTTGGCCCAGGTGGTTTTACTTACTTGGCAGGGGAGATGCTCTTCTTCTCAGCCTTGAATGACTTGGGCGAGTTAAAAGGTGAGGGCCTGTCCCTTGAACTGCAGGCAGGCTGACTCCCGTGAGAGTCGACAAATGCCTCCAAATGCGAGGATCTCGGCTACACGATTTACGGGGATGGGGGATTGCTCTAGGGCTTTCCTTCTAGCTTGCTGTTTCAGCCTTTTGGCTAGGGGCAAGCAAGACTAGGGGGCATCTGAATGCCAAGGTCTCCGGGCTTAGGGTTTGCACACAGGATGCCTGCCTTGGATTTGGGAGCATCTGACGCCCCAGGCCGCAGTCTGGGAGGATGGATACTTGCCGGTGGTAGCGCCGCACGGCCTGGAACGATTGAGCTCTGCTCAGTTGCTAAAACTCAGGATGGCAGCGCTGCCGTATTATTTTCAAGTCTATAAACGTTGCCTTTTTCTCCTCCGTCATGACAAAGATAATCCTTTGCCTCTAAGCACCTTTCATACAGCATGGGCATGTTGACATCCTACTCAACTCTCATCTCAGCTCTAGCAGTGGCTTTGCCCGCAGCCTTGAGCGAGGTGCTGAGCGTTGCTGAGCCCTGGTTCCTTATCAGCACATCGGGGAGGATGACACATCTGGTCCTAGCAAGGCACCGTGACAATGGCTTAGCGAGTCTAGCGCTCTCAGACGTCAATCCCCTCCGAAGCCCTTTCTCTTTAGCATCACTTATCAAAGAGTTCAGGGTTATTATTTATTCAGCAGTGTTTATTTAGCGCAGAAAGCCTTGCTCGGTGCCGTTCAGCCCTGACGCTGCCTCTTCTCTAAGCACATCAGTTGGAGATCCTGACCCTGCCGCTGGATCTGCATGGGCACATTAGAGTTACACGTGGGCACCAAGTCCTGAACATGCAGATCCTGTTGCCAAACACGGTGCAGGTAAGACAGATCCGACATATAAAATGCCAAGGTCTGGAGGCTGCTCCTACAGCAGCCAGCCGTAAAGCTCCCAGCAACTTTCATGGTGCAGAGTCAAGGCCTATGTGGGAGGACTGCAAATGCTATTTCCAGGCGTACAGACCCACAGTGAGCAGGTGAGCAGGAAATGCAACGTATTTATCGGCTCTGTTGTCATGTTGAGCCTTCTGCAGCATTATCAGGGCTTGGAAGTATAACTGGAATTGTACAGACAGAAACATTGGCTCGATCCTCTTATGTGGTGCTTCCAGCTGCTTATCTCGCATGTTATCTTGGGACTGAACGTTCCTTTATTTTTCTCACTTCCAAAATAAACTTCCTTTTCTGCACTTGTGCACAGACTCACCACGGAGAAGGAGAAGCCGGGCAGAGCAGCCCATCCAGCAGGCCGCCCCTCTGCCTTGCCTGTCTCTGGAAAACCAAAGGGAGTAACTCTATTGTGAAGAACAAACCGCAGCACGGTTGATGCTGCCCTGGCTTTGAATACTTATAAAGGAGCGCTGCTGTTCGTATTAGAACAGCTAATTAAAATTTAACCAGTGTTGTTTAAACCATGCTACAGCTAGGTCGGTTTTTTTGGTTTCCTTTATTGCATTTTGTTTGGCTTTGTTTTTAAAAAAAAGGCCAGGGTGCCTGAGAGTAACGTGTGTTTAATTGCAATAAGTGAGAAGCCATGAATACCTTGACCATTTCAGGATTAGCAAAAACAGATCACAACTGCCCGTGTAAATATGCATTAGCCCTGCTGCGATCCAGCTCCTGATTGAATTGCTAAATGTGGTGTGTTTCTTCCGTCTGCTAATTCCTTGGGCTTGGCTGGAGGATTTGATTTTTCTCCTTTAATGTGCGCGTTTGTTTATGTCTTCTCAAAACCTGATTTCCCAGCCCGTCTTCTGCTGCTCCGACTGTTGGCGAACTCTGTAAGTCAATCCAGAGCTCCCGTTCAGTCTTTGTCAGGTGTTTCTTCGGTTCATGCTGCCTGCTTAAATTGCTGGATTGTGTATAATTAGTTAAAGAGGTAGAGTGCTGTCTAAGTGCTAAGAAGTGTTACATAAGTGCAAGGCACAGCACATTAGGCCGCGGGAAAGGCTAATAGTATTTTGCACCAAAATAGCAATTTTCATCCTAAGTTATCAAAGTTCTTTACTAACAGTGCTTGAGGCTCTCAGCGCGGCTGCAAATTAGGTTATTATTTTAGTACGGGGGTGACAACAGCTCATTTACAGCTGAGGAAAATGAGGCACAGAGCAGTTTAGTGATTTTTTTTTCCCCCTGCTGTCACACACTGAGCAAGAAAACTATTGGGAATGTGAACCTAGGCATCCTGATCCCTGGCTGCCTTCTCTAATTGGTGATGACTCCTATCTAGCTACTTGTCCACTGTCACCCCCAGCTCCTTTTCTGCAGAGCTGCTGCCCAGCCAGGTGGTCCCAAGCCTGTCGCGGTGCATGGGCTTCTTCCATCCTAAGCGCAAGACAAGTGCAAAGTCAAGATGCCCCCTGGAAAATGCAAGCTCTTAGCTTTCACTTTGTTGAATTCAGAAAAATACTAGAGCAATTACTCCATTGCAAAGAGCTCAAAAAGACCACAACAGGTCAGGATGTTTGAGACACTCTGGATTCCTATTCAAAATCTCAGGGTTTAGCTAGAGGATTGTGTGTGGGTGTTTGCATACCTGACAGTGCTAATATTGTTTGTTTAAAGGATCTCATAGCACCCCGGGGTGTCCCAGCACCCTATTGAGAATGACTACTCTAGTCTCGAGTTAGTATGACCCCACTGAGGCAGTTTAACACATGCTACAATAGCAAGGCCATGCAACACCTCTTTCTTTCAGCTAGCAGGACCAGCAAAATCATTCTGGTTGCTGCAAAAGAAAAAGTGCCATCCGTTTGCAGAGGGCAGAAATGCTTGGAAGGCGCCATCAGGTGACACTGATCTTGAGCACTGGCCATTTGATTAGTTGAATTTAAAACCAGAAAAGGCCACCTGCGTATCACAAACCTGCAAACGTCACTCATTTACCCTTGCATTAAGCCTAGTCACTGGCTAAAGTGCATCTTCCAAAGAGACATCCAGTCTCGATGTGAAGACATCAAGACAGAGAATCCATTGCTTCCCTTGGTCATTTGTTCCAATGTTTAATCACTCTCACTGCTAACAATTTGTTCTTAATTTGAATGTGTCTGGCTTCAGCTTCCACATTGGGTCTCTTTATGTGTCCTGTAACACGTGGTGTTTTCTCCTGTGACGGCAACTCGCACACTGTAATCAAGTCCTCTCTCAGTCTCCTTTTCGGCGAGTAGCGACTGAGCTCTCTCCGCTTCTCGCTGTCAGACATTGTCTCCAGCCCTCCAACCACTTCCGTGACTCTGTGCCCTCTCCGGTTTTGCAGCATCCGCCGGACAACCTGATTTCACCTGGTGTTTGTAGGTTTAACAGAAATCACTCCAAACACTGCAAATGATCTGTGCGCCGACTGGAGAGATGTCGCATTTGTGATAATTGGAGTCTCGGAGAGCCAGGCATTTTCTGAGTTATAATGAGAATCAAACCGTAATTACTGTGTCCCTTTCCCAGGCAGGCAGCGGCTTCAGCAACCAAAATTACCACAATGAACTCATAGGCATGCTGGTATAAGAGACAGCCTTAACTGACAGCATTTTAGCTTCTTAACGAGGAGGCTTTTTTGACGGACACAGTTTGAGGGCCAGCTTTTGTTACATATTTATGCCACTCGGGAGGTGTGAAAGGATTGGATTCTGGCTCTAACTCGCCACTGAAGAATTGCCCCAAGAGATGGGCTCTCCCCGCTGGTGAGAAGCCAAACGCTCTTCCCCCAACAGACAGGGAGCATGCCTTATGAGGGATGTGGAGGAAGGCGAGTGCACTGGCGGTTCAGCATGGTTTGCATAAAATTCCTGGCATACATGAGAGCAGCCTCTATGCCGCTCAAGCCCTATTAGGGCTGGACCGCTGCAATATCAACGAGCCGTCACTGGTGCCTTGATGAGACAACCCGTCGCTGTCTTACGCTGAGCTGTGCCTGAATCCTGCCCGAAAGCTTGAGTGATTCATGGCTTTCCCTTTCCCACCCCTCTTCAGGAGGTGCGCTGGGATCTCGAGCCTGAATCTGCTAGGAGCAGGGGGGGACTAGATGAGATGTCCGCATGGCATTGGCAAAGGGAAGTCATCACTCGCTTCTGAGTGCAAGGGCAATTCAAGAAGGATCCATCAAGCAGGTTGGCACTTGGCATGTGTGTCCTGCTTGTGTGGCTGCCCATGACTTTGGCCTCTCCTAGGCACTAGAGTAATATAAGTGTAACACCCACCCACACACTTGGGTTTTTGGGAATGTGAGTTTTTTTATGTGGGCAAGATGTGTTTTGGCCATCTGGGGATTTTTCAGGCCAACTAGTTGGGAGAGGAGTGGGACCGTGGTGTTCCCTGATGGACAAGGCCAGGGTGATGCCACGCAAAGGGATATAAGGCGAGGGAAGCTGGTTTGGGGGAGGAGGAGCTGCCAGGAGGTGCTGACAAGTGAAGTCTCCCCCAGGGGAGGAGGAGTTTGCAGATAGAGAAAAGGGAAGCTCTTGTAGTAGGGAGAGAGAAGGAGAATTGTCCCAGTGTCTAGGACCTCCTCTCTCCTCCTTTTCTTCTTTTTTTTCTTTTGAGGTTGTAAGGGATTCATACTGGGGGAAAGAGTATTGGTTCCTTTGGTTTGGGGGCCAGGAGTTAGGCCTGGCAATTTAAACAGGGTTGAAACCTGGGAGTTTCTAACCCTGCCAGTTTTGGGCCAGGCTTGAGAGCTGTGACCCAAACTACCTGCAGCCCAGGCCTAGAGGGTGGACCTGGTCTTTCCTCTTTCATAGATTTCATAGACATTTGGGCTGGAAGGGACCTCGGAGGATCATTGAGTCGAGCCCCCTGACCCAGGAGCGGGCAGTCAGCAGGGATCATAGGATCCCAACAAGATAAGCATCCAAGTGTCTCTTGAAGGTGTTCAATGTAGGTACTTGAACCACCTCCGATGGCAGGCTGGTCCAGACCTTGGGGGCTCGGACAGTGAAGTTCTTCCTTATGTCCAGCCTGAAACGGTCATGGAGAAGTTTGTGACCATTCGATCTTGTCATCCCTTGGGGCGCTCTGGTGAACAAACGTTCCCCCAGATCCTGGTGGTCACCCCAATAAACTTATAGGTGGCCATCAGATCACCCCTGAGCCTGAGCTTTTCCAGGCTGAAGAGTCCCATGGCTCTCAGCCTGTCATCGTAAGGTCTGTTTTCCTGACCTCTGATCATG